CTCTTTCTTTAATGATTCTATTAGTAAAGTACGTTTAAAAGAATTAAAGGATATATATTTGCGGAGAGCCTGGCATTGTTGCTAAAATGGAACGACATACAAAAGTTCTTATCTTTGCTCGTTAATGTTTGGATTATTTAAAAAAAACATCCCAAAAATATCGCTACAATATTTTGCTGCAATCTTTCAAAGAAGGTTTCAATGTTGTGTAGTAATGTTACGACAATGTTCCTGCGCAGCATTCCTCTATCTCTTTCTCTCATCTGTGCCGTATGAAACGAGAGAATAAGAGAGTCGAGGATACACTGTCAGTCCGGAGCGCACGTGCTCACCATTGCTCAGGCATCTGGAGAGCCTCCGCGTGGCTAACGGCATGCCGGTGTTGCAGGCAGCCCGATGCAGCTCGCAGCGATTGGCATAAATCCTGCCGTTGCTCGCGCAGATCGGTCGATGCCGTCGCGTGCATCTTCGAACGCAGACGCACGCGGCAACAATCTCGTCGTCTTTCGCGGAAACTTGGCACTCTCTTCCCGCGCCGCAATACTTCTCCAGGCACGGATTGCCGGCTGAAAGAAATGACAGGAAATATTCGCGCATCTATTCGCGAGTACATTCTTGCGAGATATGGGTTTTTGGTACAATAAAGAGAGAGAGAGAGAGAGAGTGCGATACGCACCCCCTTTTACGGGGGCGAATCGTTTCCCGTATGTTACGAGATATGCGCGCGATTGATGGATTGCATTTACATATCTTACATATGTATTATAAATATATATGCGCGAAAGTGGAATATCTCTCTCTCACACCGCGAATTCACGATAAAATTGCCAATCATTCCCGGTAAGGCGGACCACTTTATCTTGTTGCAATAAATCATCCCTTTGCGCGTCAGATCGCACTTTGAGACTATTATTGTAACTGCCGAATCATTTTAGGATATATGTCCACACTATTCTTTTTCCGCTTTGCGTTACGAGACAATTTTATCGTATGATCGATGACACGTTAGATAGATAGAGAATTCTTTGAGAAAATAAATATTTGAAAATTACCACAGTGTTATTTCGAAAATGCGATATAACGATGTTTTGTACCTTATTTTTAACGCGCGATCTATATTGCGTCTATGATGAAAAAATATTGTATTACAAACAATACGCTATAATAAAAAGAAAAATTTCTCTGTCCGAATATGTTCCGATTGTTTTGCTTGTCATTCTTCTTTTATTCGCATTGCGTTGCGAGCATTTTTCGTCGCCTCGTCATGTGCGCGTTTTTTTACGTCATTGCGATTTTATTGATCGTAGGATTGGTGCTTTATGCAATTTTGACGACCTACAAGCTGATTTAATAACGGCACAAGAATGTACGTATGCATCTCTCTGTGATCGCAGTTCGATTAAACTTTCCGGATACGGCAAATTACTAATTAACATACACGCGGAGAGATTTAACTATTACTCACTGTTACGAGCGTGCCAGTACTCCGAATCTGTTGTGGATACATCGTCTATCGAGGTCGATGTTGTGGATAGAATTCCTCCCGTGCTCGGCGATACGCCATTATCATTGTCCGCCGTAAAATAACGATATCTCGAACGCTGAAAACGATGAATGTCAGAGGTATAAAATATGTTGAATAAATTTCCAAGAATGATATTGACGAATCATATTTTTCTAGTGTTACTTAAAATATCATGGGAAAGATTACAATAATGTCAAGTTTCCACGATACTATGGTACATAATTATACGATAATAAAATAAATAAAAATAATAAATAAATGAGAGAATAATTGATCGAAATTAAAGGATTATAAATAACTTGCTTGAAAAAAATCGTGTTACTTTATTCTTTCTTTATGCTTTTTATTATTATTAATTACAAGAACGCTTTTTATACTGCAGAGTCTAAGATGTTTAACGTTAACCGTTGATTCATCTACTTTTCACAGGGATAACTTTTTCAACGACACAATTTCGCGAATGTAGAGTCGGAAAATCAAGAGCGCATTCAGCAAAGTCGCGTAGCGTTTTCCGCGGGAAGTTAATGGCCCGTGGATATTTCACAGATACGTAAAGCTCCTTTCTGCGTTGTCGGTGCTGCTCGCATTATTCATCGTCGACAATTGAGGTGGCTTCAAGTCGCCGGAAGTTGTCCGATGCACGGGAAGGAAGGGGAAGCGGTTACGCGGTTTCCGGATCGGATTACGCGAACCAGTCAAGGACGGTCAGTCTCATTCAGATAAATATGATGCAATGTCAATGTACACGGATGAAACCGAGGAAAATCGCAAAATCATGCTGCCGGATGATGCAGGAGATCCGCTTGATGGACCGGAGCCAAAAGAAAATCCGTTACGCGCAAGAAAAGTATACTCATCTAGCGGTCATCTAACTGTCGGACAGAAGGTTTATGCGAGTAATAATGTTCGCGAGGAGAGAACACGGCGAGAGGATACAGTGGAGACGTGAGAGATTTGTATAATCGGACGATAACTTGTGTCGCGACTTGGAACGAAAGCGCTTTGCCGGGGAGAATCTAATTCTAGCCACTAATCTTCCGTTCGCTCCTCTTTTACGAGAGATCTTGGATATAAAATTAAAATATAACATTAATTATTTCTCTTTTCACGAGATTTACGTCGTTTATCGCACATCGCTTTTTATTAAAGATGGGATTATCAAGAATCGCGATTATACGGTGGTAGAAATGCAAGAAAATTAATTAAAACTAATTGCAGTAATTATGTATAATGATTTGAGTTGTAAGACTGGGATGAGAAAATTTTTATTAATCGTTTGATTGGTGAATTGCCTTCTGACCTAAAAATTACTCAATTTCTTGATCTTTTCATGCTGTGACTTGTGATTTAATTAAAATTATCTTAAAAATTTTAATTGTTCTATTTGTTTGATTGTTACAAATTTATAAATCTATTTTAATAAAAGTACACAATATGTTAAGATTGATGAAAAAGTACATGTGCTTACTTTGTATCGAAGTATATCGGAACCAAGTGCCGGGGCGATATAGGTCGAGATGATTGAAAGCAACAGGACATAGAAGGTCGCGAGGCAGGACTTTAGTCGCATCTGAAAAATATATCAAAAATTATATTATAATATATATTTTGCTATATTCTTTTATACTGTCTATTTTTATATTATTATTTCTTGGAATAAATAAAAAAGGGGTACCCTAAGAACTTTTAATAAAGAGCTTTTAATAAAGATACCATACGAAAGTAACTTAATCCAATACAGATTACTCGGTTACATTGATAGTTTTTAAGAATATAGTTTTATATTTTAAGAAAGAAATAAAATGCACTGCAATCGATCAAGAGTAGATTTAATCTAGAAGAATAAAAAATAAAAAAACTTATTTTCGTTTCTTATTCTCAAGATTTTCTCTATGTAAATACATGGTATATTTTCTCTCGCAAATTCTCTCCAATGATTGAATTTTAGATTTAAGTCAAATAATTATAAAACAGACAAAAGGCGCAGGATGTAAGCATACAATCGAATAAAATATTTTATCTGAAATTCAATAGCACGAGTAAAAGTTATAGTATATTTTTTTAAATTATCTAACCGTTGGTAATTTATGTTCTTTTGATCCAGCATAAAGCCACCAGCACTTTCAATAGATATGTGCCGCGAAAAGAAAGGGGAAAGGGGGAATCGCTGTGATTCTATAAGCTTGGAAATTCACAGTGCTATATTACGGAGACGTTTACACGGTAGAGGTTGGCCCATCTTAAATCTTCCGATTAACTTCGAGCCTGCCTAGTCTATATTTTATTCCGCGCGACGCTTGGAAATTTACCATAAGAATGGCATTCGTATACGATTTATAAGATATACCGTACGATTTTCGTGCCAAAAATGCAAAAATGTATATCGGATCGCCATAATTGGCGATTATGTTATATATATAAGAAATACTTTGATTGCTTGAATCGCTGTGAATATTTTTTTATTATAAAATTCGTGTAAATATTGTTCGTGAGAAGTTTCACAAAATAGAAATATTCGAATAATATCTATAATATTATAGTTATTTAAAATGTTCATCTCTCTCATTTTAGTGAATGAGTATTGGCAAAGTGAAAAACATGAAACACTTTTTCAAGTTCATTCTGACATTAAGTGACATTTCCAAAAGTCATTTCGAATTTTTTAGTCAGTTCCCTTATTTAAGGTATGTTTTTACTTTTTCAAGAAACTTAACAGAGGGAATAGATTCCTCTCTGAGTATTCGGTTTAGTTTGATTTTTTACAGACAGATGTGAGGCAGAAGATACTCAAAGACTTCGAGGCCCATCGTTTGTGAACCACTGCTGTCAGTCCTTGAACGATTGTTGATGATAAAACACAGCAGTATTTTTAGTCCGGCCATTTAGCCTGCATCGGATGCCGAGCAGTTGGGTAGGGAGGTACAACACAAGGGCCTCTTAGTTCTTCTTCGATCCCGGTTTGGTAAACACGTGTTCTTTCATACAAAGATTTCAAGAACGAGTCGGATAGATTTTGAGGTGGATGCTGTGCGAAGATTTCATGCGAAGTTTCGTGATTTAATTCCGAAACGTGATAATCGTCACACGAATCGAGCCTTATCTTCTATCAACTTTTTAAGGTTTGTTTAATCAAGTAATATAATTTATTGCTTGCGGTTTTTACAATAAATTTTTTTGCTTGCATTAATATATTTTTGCATATATATATATATATTTGTTTATTTATTACGGTGTCATTTTAATCGTTCATTTCTTACATATCATACTCTAATTATTATAAATTGTTTGATATTTCTTTTATTGCGTGAAAAGTATTTTTTCTCGAACCTTAATGATTGGTCGCAGATCCCGGAGGGGTGCTTTGCAAATCGATCTTCGGAAGAGTGACAAATTCGCGGCAAGAATGACGGCGTACTTTTTACTCGTCGGTTACATCGCGTTTCTCGGCGTTCTCGAGGAGCCGTTCATCTCAGCCGCGCCGTCTACAACCAGCTCTTCCGTAAAGATCACGACCGTCCCCGGCAGCGTGAATTTGAACGAGGATGCGCAGGATGAGAGCATCAATAATAATCCAGAATCCGCCTGTCCGTGCTTGACGTCATCGGTCAATAGTACGTCGACAATCCCCGGACAATCGGACTGGTTGACGCAGCAACGGCGGCAGCATCTCGAGCAGTTCTACAGCCAGAACGTGATGGTCCACGGCATGTTGTGCACGTGCAACGTCGCCCTGCGCGGTGCCCCGATGCGAGATGATTATCGTTACACGGTGGGTATTGGCGCCCACAAGATCCATACGAGGGCCGCCACGTGGAACGATGCGAGAAAGTTGTGCAACGACGAGGGCGGCCACCTCGCCATCGTCAATTCCATCGCCGAGGAGCACGTAAGAGTAGTTAAATCTGATCGCGAATATTATTATCGCTCTCACCTGATATATCTGATACCTCTATAACTTCCTTCGAACCTACGAAACTTCCTAAGGCGTGTCGAGTAATGTAGTTACGTAAGACGTAAGGAATATCTGGATCCTGATGAGAGTATGGTATCTCTATATATTGGGATCCATACGACGTCGTCCTGATGTACACGCTTATCGTTTTATAAGTCAAACTAATCCATTATCGATCCTTTTTCAGGTACTGATGGAGATATTTAATGGTTCCGGACCGATCAAGGGCGCCGCGTATCCGGACGAGGCCTTATTGGGTATACACGATCTTTACAAGGAGGGCGAGTGGGTCACGTTGCAGGGCGATTCTCTGGCGAAAACCGGTTACACCAGGTGGAGCGATAAGTGGGGTGGACAACCCGACAACGGGGGCGGCAAACAGCACTGCGGCGCTTTAATGAAAGAGGGTGACATGGACGACGTCGCGTGCGACGTCCCATTTCCATTCTTCTGTGAACTTCCGCTGATGCACGCTTTACATTGAAAAAGAAAGAGTCTCGGCGGGGTTCCGTTCAGGGATTAAGCATCGCTGGCATAAGGTTTACACGCTCTTGCCATGTGCAACGTCATACCTCTTACCGTAGTATATAGCTGCATTATGCAGACATCATCTTCACGCGAAGGTGTTTTCTTGTTTTAATACGGAGAGTTTTTCCTTTATTCTCTCTGTGAAACGTGTGAGATGTGTCGTCTTTGAGAACTTTGTCCTTCCAAGTTTCTTTCCGTCTTTTCTCTCTACAAAAGGACATCCGCCGATGAAATGTTTGGACTGTTTTTATGTATATACATATAAAAGACCTTTTTCTCTAGATACTTTTTTTTTTAATTTTTTGAAAATTTCTAGAATATTTGTTCGTCCCTTTTTCCCTTCCTTACGCTAACGAGCAAATGGATACATTGTCGATGTTAAAATGAATTATTCTAATTAAATTGTTCACTTACAGCACAGTTGTATTCTCTCGAAGTTTCAACCTTGGAAGTTTCTCTGCGCTGTAATACAACGATACTATTACGCATTAAATTACGTCGCATGAGTCTATAGCACCTTCGAGAATATTACGTTACGGTATCAACAATGTACCCGTTGTAGCGCAACACAATCATTACGCGAACGATAAATTAAATATCAACGACGCCGATCATCTGCATTATCACTTTATACATATTGCGTGTTACAAATTGGATCGATATCTCTGTCCAAATTTTTTCTCTTTACGATAGTTTTATTTCGTGTGTTGTACGGCCGGAATATAACTTACGTACTGTTGCTGATTTATGCTTACGAGAAATATAGCGTTATATGTTTCGGAACATAAAGAATTTATAGAGGCATCAACTGAGAGAAAGAGAGAGAGAGAGAGAGAGAGAGAGAGAGAGAGAGAGGGGGAGAGAAAGTGGAACAATGTAAACCGATATTGCGAGCGATGTAAACCCTGATATATCTGATACCTCTATAACTTCCTTCGAACCTACGAAACTTCCTAAGGCGTGTCGAGTAATGTAGTTACGTAAGACGTAAGGAATATCTGGATCCTGATGAGAGTATGGTATCTCTATATATTGGGATCCATACGACGTCGTCCTGATGTACACGCTTATCGTTTTATAAGTCAAACTAATCCATTATCGATCCTTTTTCAGGTACTGATGGAGATATTTAATGGTTCCGGACCGATCAAGGGCGCCGCGTATCCGGACGAGGCCTTATTGGGTATACACGATCTTTACAAGGAGGGCGAGTGGGTCACGTTGCAGGGCGATTCTCTGGCGAAAACCGGTTACACCAGGTGGAGCGATAAGTGGGGTGGACAACCCGACAACGGGGGCGGCAAACAGCACTGCGGCGCTTTAATGAAAGAGGGTGACATGGACGACGTCGCGTGCGACGTCCCATTTCCATTCTTCTGTGAACTTCCGCTGATGCACGCTTTACATTGAAAAAGAAAGAGTCTCGGCGGGGTTCCGTTCAGGGATTAAGCATCGCTGGCATAAGGTTTACACGCTCTTGCCATGTGCAACGTCATACCTCTTACCGTAGTATATAGCTGCATTATGCAGACATCATCTTCACGCGAAGGTGTTTTCTTGTTTTAATACGGAGAGTTTTTCCTTTATTCTCTCTGTGAAACGTGTGAGATGTGTCGTCTTTGAGAACTTTGTCCTTCCAAGTTTCTTTCCGTCTTTTCTCTCTACAAAAGGACATCCGCCGATGAAATGTTTGGACTGTTTTTATGTATATACATATAAAAGACCTTTTTCTCTAGATACTTTTTTTTTAATTTTTTGAAAATTTCCAGAATATTTGTTCGTCCCTTTTTCCCTTCCTTACGCTAACGAGCAAATGGATACATTGTCGATGTTAAAATGAATTATTCTAATTAAATTGTTCACTTACAGCACAGTTGTATTCTCTCGAAGTTTCAACCTTGGAAGTTTCTCTGCGCTGTAATACAACGATACTATTACGCATTAAATTACGTCGCATGAGTCTATAGCACCTTCGAGAATATTACGTTACGGTATCAACAATGTACCCGTTGTAGCGCAACACAATCATTACGCGAACGATAAATTAAATATCAACGACGCCGATCATCTGCATTATCACTTTATACATATTGCGTGTTACAAATTGGATCGATATCTCTGTCCAAATTTTTTCTCTTTACGATAGTTTTATTTCGTGTGTTGTACGGCCGGAATATAACTTACGTACTGTTGCTGATTTATGCTTACGAGAAATATAGCGTTATATGTTTCGGAACATAAAGAATTTATAGAGGCAACAACGGAGAGAAAGAGAGAGAGAGAGAGAGAGAGAGAGAGAGAGAGAGAGAGAGAGAGAGAGAGGGGGAGAGGAAGTGGAACAATGTAAACCGATATTGCGAGCGATGTAAACCGTCGGTTTGTATTTATGGTGCAGCGGTAGAGCTAGAAGTTTTCGAGTTTGAGTTGGAACCCCGCTAAATTACACCCGCGTGAAATTGAGAAGCACGCGGAAAATGAAGACGAGACTAATTTCGGATGCCGAAATCGTACTCGTGCCAAAATTTGTAGCCATCGCGAGAGCGGACGTCGAATAGCGGACGGTATAATTTTCATATGTTACGTAAAATCAATCGAGATATTAACGCGAGCGGCATGTTAAAATTATTATCGATATTCGATGTGTATTTTATAATACCCTTATTTGCTATCCCAGGAACGTGTAAATCAATATTGTCTTTTATGCTTCGATATATTTTAGATAATTTTTTTATAACACTTTATATGCGAATAAAATAAACGATGCATTAAGATAACATCGATTTTCGTTTCCAACTTTTCTCTCATTTCGTTTTGATTTTTAGAAGATTGCATTATTCTAACAAAATAACTTGTAGTTTACCGCGATTTATTTTTATGAGTAGTTTTTATAAATTTCCAAAAAACAACGTTTAGAGAGAAATATGTTTGACTGTTATGTGACGCTTTGATATAAATTTCCAATCAAGCGTAAAATTAAATTGTCCATTTGTAATTTATAAAATATGGCTGTATCCGACATTTGAAATTGCTTGATTTATAAAGTTTATATATTAACATAATAATTTTCCTTTTTTTAGGAAAAGGGTAGTTTTTAAATATTGGATTTCATCTATGTATGCGTTTTTATATAGAATATGTAAAATATTATGCAATACTTCTGCAAAATACAGAAAAATGTAACGTAATATAAAACGAGATGATCTTCACATATCGGGCACAGAATAACGCATATTTTTTTTTTCTCGAGAGAGCAAGATTCACGAGTATCAGATTTTTTAAATGAGAAATATTTAAACATCGTTAAAATTCTGTTATTTAATCTGCATAAGAGGCAAAAGCGAGTTAATAAATGTGTGGCTTGAACAATCCGGCAACTGTTATGACCGACAATATTGCGGCACCCTGTTGCAGTTTGGCGGATTGGACGACTATGAATGTGTATAAGTCTGTTTCTACTCTTTATTAACGGAATCACTAATGAAGCGAGTTTCGCGGCAAAAACGTCGATTTAGTAAATCTCAACGAAATTGGTCCTTCTTTTATTAAATGCAGTTTCTTGCTACGTGAAAGTTCGCAAAAAGATAAGAAGTAACTTTTCCGAGGAATTTTTACTTGAACGTTTATATTCTCCTCTCCCATTGCACAGTAACGTTTAATAGTATTTCTAATAGTCTTGCTAATAGTCCTCATTTTGGTCGATTTTTTTTTATTCGATACTTAACGAAAGTATTTCATCGATAATTTTTGAACAATTAAAGGATTTGTAGATATAAATAAATCATATATAATTATATTCTAATTGATTTCATATAGACTCAACAAAATATTAATTTTAAATTTAATTCAAATATGTAATATTGAAGATACGAAAATTGAGTTAAATATTGACATCCCCGGATTTTTTTTTTATTAAGGGAAAATTAATTTTAAATTAAGCGGTGATGATGAAACATGTACATGTTTGCTATTTGCGTACTACCTATATATTATGTATAATATATTTTATTAATTATATCGGAGAGAGGTCATTTCTATATAAAACTTATTTCTATATAAAATTTTAACAAGATTTTCTCTCTGTATAAATTGTACAAATTTCTTATTATATATAAAATTAATCGCCATATTGTTCGGTAAAATTTGTACTGCAAGTTTTATTAATCAAGATGCTTATATTTTATTCTTATATGCTTTTATGTAAAAGTGTATGTAATAAATGGAATTTTTTTGATTTCGTGCAAATACAGAAATTTAATATCGATATGCGTTCGAGATACGCAACAAACGCAACTAGCTTCCGCTAGTTTCGCGGACGCGCACTGCGTGTTCAAACCTCAAATTACAATCGTAGAAAACACACCAAAAACACACAGAAAAATGGATTTTGATCCATCATATCGTCAACGTACTTTACCGTCGTAATATTAATATCAGGAACAAGACGATGGAATGAAATTGCAACCGATGTCTATATATTTACTCGCGAGCAATGTCGTCGCTCATCGTCTCGCACGATTCACATTTAATGATGCTGGAGATCGCTGTGGAAAACGTAAATGCATTTTTTTCTTTGTATTTTAAAATATGATCTTAGATTTTAAAGTTTATAATATTTCTTTTACGTGGAGATATATATGTCAAAATTTAAACCATCTATGTATATTTCCCGTTTTTTAAGACGGTTTAATTAAATGACAATTAACTTTATATATAATTTTATATAGCTTTTATAGTCTCAAATAATTATTTGTAGTATATTTTATACTTCCATCATTTTTTCATTGCAATGTAATTTTTATCTTCATTTAGAATAAGTTATTTTTACATCTTATATATCATAGGATGTAAAATAAAAATATAAAAATTTTAATAATTTTTTGAGTCATAAATCTTTATTGTAATTTAATAATATATCAATTAATATAAAGAGTATAAAATAAAATAATCAAAATTAACGTATATAAATTTTACAATTTTTGCCCGATTATCATGGTATTATCATAGTTGCGGATATCAGTGGAAACTCTGAGATAAGAAAAAGTGCCAAGTATATTTTCATATTTTCTACAGTTTTAATTAGATACAGGATACATAAATATGTAAATTTTTAGAATTATTAGCTTATGATAACGAATGATGTTGAGGAATTAATTTTAATGAATTATCATAGCATTAATTGTCCGCAATAGTTGTTCGTCCCTTGGACCTCCGAGTTCGACAAAGTCATCCTGAAGAAGACGACCGTCATGTTTCGCATGCTGGACGAGGACTGGACATCGCTGGCGCCGAATCGGCGCGATCATCGCCCTTATCGCGGCTCCAGCTGCGAGAACGAGAATTTCTACGGCGGTACATCCGTCGTCTTTTGCGTGCCGGCGGGATTCTTCGAGAAAAAAGCGATCGACGTCGACATACAACTCTACGTACGGAAGGAGGTGTGCGAGTATTTCGAGATGGATTCGTGCCAAAGCGTCGGTTTCGCCACCGTGCCGGTCGATGATCTCCTCAACGGCATCGCCAAGCAAATGCGCGAGCGAAACGAATTGTCGGAACATTTGTCGGACTCGTATAAGCAGCAGATTATCTCGAGGTGATTGCGTCGAAAAACATCGTCCAATAATTCGGCAATCGTCGGCCGGGAGAGGAAACTTTTTATCTCTTCATCGAAAGCTCTCTTTCGATCTACCGTCCGATCACGTTTATTGCCGGATGTTCGTTCGAAGAGAAAAAGGGAAGAGCTGACGTTAACAAACGGATCGTTGTCATTACAATTGAAACGTATCATTAAAACACATTGATATTATTTGCTTTTAATAATATTTCCTTTGTACGAAACAGATAATTTCCGTAAACAAACAATTATAAGATATAGGTACGTATAATTGGCAATAAAAACAGAAACCCCCGTAGTTTATAAAGGAAGTACGCTTGTGTATGATGGATAGACTGTATAATTCCGGGACTTTAATAACACGTCAATATGTGATTTCAGGTCCACGACGGGAACTTACAATCTGCTTGACGAAAACTTCCGGACTACCGCGGCCACAATTTCGCTCTACATCCGGATCAGCAGTCTCGGCAAGTGCCTTGTGACGGAGATTACGCGCGTCGAAAGTGACATACGCGGCGCGTTTTGCGCTCGCAGAGAACCGGACGAGGAACAGTATCTCACTCGGCAACTGACAGCGGACGAGCTTCAAAGCGGTCGCTGGAACGTCGGAGATTTCCCTTGTGTTCCTCGCGGACGTTTAGTATGCCGCTGCGAGGAATTAATTAGAAAGAAGGATGCCGCCGCGGATTTAGCTGGTAATTGATTCAACCGCTTTATACAGGACGCTACTTTCAAGTCTCTTTATCTCTTTTACAAGATACGGAAAGAGCGCTATCTGGCTTAATTTCGAGAATAAAGCTCTTTCTTAAATGCAGTTAAACCGCCAAACGCGGCTATTTTATTCTGATGATCCTACCGCTTTTTTATTCGATGCAAAATGTATATTTATACTGTAACTCAATAAAACGAGCAACTTGAAAAAGTCTGTTTGCGACGTTTCGGGGAATAAAATCTTTCAAAATGATCAATTTATTATTCTCGTTGGATTCAGCGAGATAAAAATCTAGACGAATATATTTTATTTAACAATGAAAATAAACGATATGATTGCAAACGAATTCACGTAATATGTGATAGGAGATGCTGCCGCGATCGCGAAGATGAGAGCAGCTATTGAAGATGTTGATGTAGGCGCGAGAGAAAGAATTGCTGCAGATATTACCGCGAGAGATGCTCCCGAGATCGCGAAGATGAGAGCAGCTATTGAAGACGCTGATGTAGGCGCGAGAGAAAGAATTGCTGCAGATATTACCGCGAGAGATGCTCCCGAGATCGCGAAGATGAGAGCAGCTATTGAAGACGCTGATGTAGGCGCGAGAGAAAGAATTGCTGCAGATATTATTGCGAGAGATGCTCCCGAGATCGCGAAGATGAGAGCAGCTATCGAAGACGATGATGTAGGCGCGAGAGAAAGAATTGTTGCAGATGTTGCCGCGAGAGATGCTCCCGAAATCGCGAAGATGAGAGCAGCTATTGAAGACGCTGATGTAGACGCGAAGGAAAGAATTGCTGCAAATGCTGCCGCGAGAAAAAGAAAAGCTCTTAAAGGTACAAATGCAGATGCGCTTGCGGAAGTTACATCGTTTTATAAAATCTCCTTATCCCAGTATCTGTAATTTTTCTAACTATCTCTTTTTCGCGTGTAAAAAAAAAAAGAAAAAAATTTAATGATTATTTTTGAACAGAAATATTATAGAAATTCGCACGCCGAAAAAAAAAATTATTTATCCAAATTTATTAAATTTCGAGAAATTTTTTAATACACACATACAAGAGAAATATGAGATATTCTCTTCTTACATAGTTGCCAAAAGACGTGCTATTGAGAGAGCAAAATCGAAAAGAGTCGCGATAAAGGAGAACGGAAAGACGACTTTCCAGAAAGCATTCTTCGTGTCGAGCAAATCGAAGTGCGAAAAAGATAGGGCGACGATCTGTATCGCGGAAGAAGAGAAGAGAATCTTCCCTTGCGCTCCTGTGTCCGCGTGTCCGCCCCTGCAAACGCATCCTTTGTGTAGTGAATTGCAACCACATTTAACTTGTTTTATCGACCACTGCAACGTTTCATCTCATTGTTATGGGATGGACTCTTCTCTTCAATTCATTAATCGTGTCTGACGAGTTTCCGTCACTCATGACAACGACTTGACGGTTAGTGACGGTTGGATAATTAGAGTAAGACAGCTATTGATCGATCCTCCTTAGAATTTAACTTTCCATAATTTGATTTTTATTCCACCTTTTATCTTTCATTATTATTTTTTTTACATTTATTACGTCGCGCGGTGCCTTTCCAATGACAATTTCTTCCGCTTGCATTCGTGAAATGGCATCGGACGACGTGTAAGGAAGTTCAAATTACCAAATCGTAAAGTTGAAACAACAGCAAGCTGCTAGCAAGCTTTCTTTAAGCTTTCTTAATCGCGTTTTTATTGGTTTCAATCAAACACAATGATGCAATCCAATCTCGCGCAATGCAATATTATTCTGATTCGCTTACTCGACAAGTTGTATTTGAGGAGATTACAACTGAATCACTTGATTTTGCAATATAAGACGCTCGAATGTAAAATCTGTCAAGTATGCCAATCTTGAAAAATGTGCGTTTATTTTTTTGTAAAAAAATTTTAACGTCACGCGTTAAATATTAATGTAAATATTTTTTATAAATGTTGATTTTTTTTTTTAAATGCACACATATTCAAAGAAATTGTATAAAAATTTATTTCTAAAATTAATTTAAATAGAAAAAAGATTTTCTGCTTAAAATTTATTACTTCACAGATTTTGTATTTGATTGCATTAAAATATTGCAGAAACTTTAAGGCTTAAAAATATATTAATAAACAAGGAATGCTTTTTTTCTCTTTCAGATTCTTTTTAATACACAAAGTCATATGTACTGCAAAATAGAGGAAATATAATTTATTATAAAAATGACGAGTTTAACAATATAATTTCTTTATAAATTATTCTGCGAATTCTGTTTTGAAAATTATAGGTGTAACAAACAAGGCATGTCTTGAGAATTGCAATTATTAAAAAAAGTGTCAATTCTATTTTTTAGATTTATATTTCAATTTTTGAAAACAAATTATTATTATTGTTTTTCAAACAATTGCGATATAGAACAATCGAATCGATATGAAACCAAAGATATAATCGCTCAAGTTTTTATGTTGCATGATAATAATAGCTAACAAGGTGAAAGCCTCGTTTATATCCTTATTACTTTATGCCTCTTTGATAATACATACACATGTCAATTAGCGAATTCGGTTGGATGCACTAATGCGCATTAAACGCGCCCTTTCACGGTTTTTTATAGCAACTTTTTTTCGATACCAATCGGACAAAAAACTGGATGAAGTAACATTTAGTGCGCACCAATGCGTATTAGTGCATCCAATCGAATTTGTTATATGATTAAAGAGAAAAAGAGAGCATTTTTATCTTCATACATAATACGTAACGTGATAAAGGGCGATAAAATTAATTTTGCGTAGCCAAATATGCACATTGCAATTTGCGAGTCGGGAATACGTTGTGTATCCGTTCATACAAGTGCTTGGATTTCACATTCAAATTTCATCTATTTTTCCATCACGAATTTCCAAGCGTTTTGCGATCAAAGAGATTGAATATCAAAATAATTTCGGTAGCGATGGTCTATATATCGATAGTCTATACAAGGTATTCCTAAAAATTTAGGGGGGAGTGATTTTTTGGGTAATTACTTGAAAAAAAGTTTATATACATCAATGTCCTAAAAGGCATAGTTTTCGAGTTACAAAATGTTTTTTCACGGTGAAAAAAATGAGATTAAAAAAAAATATATTTTGATAGAAACAAAATTAAACAATATTATAGGAATTGTTAGAAATGACCATCTCTCTAATTTTTGTTCTCGACAAAGAGCAAACGATTCTCGTCCAGACTATAATATGGGTGGAGAGACAAGCATAATTAAGGGAAAATGTAGTGCCATCTTGTTAATTGAGTGAAATCTGTTTACTACGGATTGAGTGAAACCCTTGTCCAGTAAATAAATTAGATGCAAGAAGGAGCCGTTGATATCTTACACATATGATTCTTTCTGCATAAAACCAATGAAAGAGAGTTTCCCTTTTAATAATATCTATCAAGAATACGTTTTAAGATCTCTCTTTCGGATACAGCAGAACTGTTCTATCGCAATCACTTCCGTAAAACTCTATCGGTTTTCATCGCAATAGTGTAAAACGGGATTCTAAAGGAAATAACGCATTTAAATCTCCCGGCGACCATTTATTCCAACTAATTGGTTCCTATAGCTTAACCGATATGAATAAGAAACGTAAACGGAATAATAAATATATTGCTTTAAAAAAACATTAATTTTTTAAATTAATTAAAAATTAAAACTTGAACTATTTATCGTGATAAACAGAGCGTTAAGTCGGTTTATCTTTGCGTCAGGATATTACTCGCGCGGATATCATTGCTTCGAACAAATTTACGGGTTTTCGTGCGCAATCGTGCTTTCTTATACCCATTGTTTCGGTACCGAACGCGATCTAGCGTGCATTTCCGCCACGTTAAGCCCGAGGTGGGATTAAAGGGAAGGGGGCAGAGGTTTGTAAACTACACGATGTAGGCAGGCTGCGATAGCATTATCCGCATTTATGCCGACAGAAATCCCCCGGCTGGTTCATGCTTTATAACAAGGGAACCTACTAGAGCGATCGTTTTTCCTTGATTATTAACTTCGTAAATTACACCGGCGCGTTGCTTGCTAAAATCAGACGACACGGCAGAGTCGATGCCGATAAAACATGAATATGAATGCATATTTTTGGCGAGAGTATTCTTATGACAGCAGAATCAAAAAATTATTAATTAAGATCAATCTCTTATATACACTTTTATCTTGGAAGAGATATTCTGACATCGAGATAATATATTAATTCTTTCTTCGTGCTTTTGTTAAATTTGGATATCGCAAGTAAATATACTACGGTTAACT